TCAAAATGAAAATTCAGTATAATGATGATACAATGTTATTATTGACAAGTAATATTTTTAATCAATAATAAAAGTAAATATGAGAGGGTGAGCTCACTATTTTTGTGGAATTTTTTTTAGGGCCGTGCTACATCCCCCTAATTTGGGGAGCCCTAATCCCTCGAAATTGAGACCAAGGAAAAGTAAGAAAAAAAAAAAAAAAAAAAAATCCTAAAACGACGTCATTTTGGGGATTGGGGGGATTAAGGGGGGCTTTTTTAGGACTCCAAATCATTTCCCTTTTTTTTATTTCAGAATTATTATGTAATTGTCACTCTATTGATTTCCCCTTATTTTGGATCCTTCTATCCTTGCTAAATCTGGTTAACTCAACAAATTGATTTTTTCTTTCAACAGAAATCAAATTGATTTATTCAAGCAATATAATATTAGAAAGGGAAATGATTTGTAGCCCTAAAAACCTCACCCCTAATCCCCTAATTTCTATTTTTGGCAATTTTTTCCTTTTTTTTTACTTAATATGAAAAGAGCAATGGTAGAGGGCCCAAATTCTGTGGCTCAAATGTGGCTCAAATGGCCAAAACGACGTCGTTTTGAGTACAAAACAACATCAAAATGGCCAAAACCACGTCGTTTTGGCCATTTGAGTCACATTTGAGCCACAGAATTAGGGCCCCCAAACATTTTTCAATATGAAAATTAGGGGGATTAGGGGGATGTTAGGGGATGTAGCATGACCCTATTAGAAATATTACTATATGAGTCACGTTCAGACCCCCATAGCTGTTTTGGGTCCTAATCTAAACAAAAGGTCAGGCTGCATAAACAAAAAATAATATAAAAAATTAAAAAAATAATGCTTAATTCCGCTTTCTTTGTGGCTGCCGCCTTCCAGATGACACAGAGGGAGAAAAAAATCTAACAAAAATAATCAAATTAATGTTATATAAATCAAAAAATCTATATAAAATTATGTGTCAAGTATTATATGAAGTAATGAATTTTATAATTTTTTTTTACTAAAGTGATGTGTTATAATAAAAAAGAGAATTTTTTTTTAAGGTCTCTGGTATTAAAATTTTATATGATAAATAATATGTAATATTTTCATAATTATTGTGGTCGCTCAACATTTTTCTAAAGAAATTTCGTTTCAAAGAAATTTCAATCTAGAGAAATTTCAAAACACAAATTTCTCTAGGTTGAAATTTCTCCAATTTGCTCACAATTTTCTCCGTGTTTTAATCAATTTTTTCTAATTTGCTCACAATTTTATTTGTGCTTTGACCAAATCAGAGAAAATTGTGTTTTGACTCAATTAACCTAGAGAGAAATTTAGACTTGGGCAAAGCAGCAACTCATTACAATTTTCCGTTCAATTTAGACTAGTGTTGTTACTTAAGCATCATCACTATAGTAATGTCCATATGCTATCATCAATCCAAAACTTAACCTTGAGATGTAAGAAAACCTCTCTTCTGTCTCTTCTTCTTCTACAACTCTTCTTATTAAACCTGAGCTTATATTCACCTCCATCAAGTCCTTCGCACCCGCAACTGTTACTAATCTCGGCCTTAGTTTTGACTTCCTGAGCTACATTGCCGATGGAGTAGGCGACTTTGTCACCCTCCGAATCGACCATAGGTCTACTTGGGCCACATCTCCATATCTCACATTGATGGCATCGACGATTCCTCCAACAAACTCACTGGAGAAGTCACCACCTTTGGCCTCTTGGAACCATTGCTTTATGCAATCAGACAACACTGATGACAGCGGCGTTGTGCGGTGGTTTTCCCTATCACCGTTGTTGCTATTGCCATTTTTCTTCTTTCACATCTTCTTCTTTTTCTTCTTCTTCCAACTTTAATTCGTTACCAATTCTTGTGAGTTTAGTGCTTTTGGGATCCAACTACTGCGGTAGATTTAGGGTTGGTTTGGGATGTCCTAAAAAAGTGCACTTTTTGACTTATTGGTGGGTTTGGGTTGGGTTTGGATTGGGTTTGATGTGATGTGTTAGAGAGGTGATGTGATTTAAATAAGATGATGTGACTTAAATAAGATAGTGACTTTTTGACTTTTTGACTTATTTAGTACATGCCAAACTAGCCCTTAGTTGTTGTTGCTTTTGTTTGTATATATATGTATATATATATATATCTGTTCTTGGTGGGTTTGGAAGATAATTTGATGAATATTTGATTTCATGATCCAAATTTTGAGGATTTATATAGGGTTTTCAATTGAGGGAGATAAATTTTTCGATTAAGTTTTAGGAGAGCGATAGGTTCAGTGTGAGAAGAGAGAATGAGAGAGGGGCTATTATATATGGATGTGGGTAAGAGATTTTAAGTTACAAAAAATATATTATAGATATTTCTTATTACTAAAAATTGGAAATGGATGTTAAACTAATTATCCCAACAAAGATTTGAAACTTACAATGAATTTAACTTTAATGATATGACATCAATAATGGAATTCTTTTGTATAATATTAATCATATTGAATTTATTATTTTAAAATAAAGACCCATCATCAACATAACTTACATTTTTTAAAATGTCAAATGTTACATTATTATTATTATTATTATTATTATTATTATTATTATTAAAACACTCTTCACCAACTTTTGATAGTAGGAGAAATTTAATATATATTTTTTATTAATTAAGATCTCTCAATGAAATTTTTCTGTAATTATATTAAAAAAATTTTGAAATTTCTTTGTGTCGGGATAAAACTTCTCCATGTCAAAATTTTCCTGTAAAAATATTAAGAGACCCTAATTACTATGAAAATATTGTGTATCATTTATCTTATAAATTTTTAATATCAAAGACCTTAAAAAAAATTCCCTTATTATTATTATTATAAGCAATAATAGCTTTAAAAAAAAATGGCTACAGAAAATACACATAGAATGAAAAGAAAAACTCGTGAATCTACCACTTAAAAAAATAAAATGCTGCTTAATCTCAAGATTGCCACTGGGTGTTCGGGGTTTACCTCTTTTGTGTTTTTTCATTAGCTTATTTTCGCTTTAGTGATTTTAAAAAAAATAAAATTTGAGAAATTTTAGAGTTTTAGATTCTACTAGTCGAGATGAATAGACAAAATTAAATTTTTTTATAAGAATTAAAAAAAATTAGAAAAAACAAAAATAAGTAAAAAAAAATAATAGACTTTTTGGCTTATTTAATTTTTTTTTTGAAATTTTTCAAAAAAAAAAGAGTATTTTTCAAATATCTCTACACAAGATCGACCAGAAAAAATATTTTTAACATAATTAAAAAAATTCACTAAAGATAAAAAAATAAAAAAATTAGTGACTCATTTAGCACTTCCCAAAACAATAATAGCGAATAATTTTGAATGAAAATTCTTTAGTTTGGTTAGGATAAAAATAGTAAAAAATGAAAGAAATGAAAGAAAAAAATTCTAAATTTGTTTAGTTGAAAGGGGTGAAAGTTACAAGAAAATTAATTTTCTTATACAACTCATAATAGTATGGTAATTAAGTTTTCAGTTTCTTTCAAAAAATACAAAAAAAAAAAAATACAATAAATAAAAAAAAATTAAAATTTGTTATAAAAGTAGTTACTTATAATTAAAATTTTTATTTTCTTACAAAATTTTCATCCTAATTAAATTTATACAGAAAAAAAGATATTTTTTTGCTTTTTCTTTTATTTCACTTTACTTTTTACTATTTTTATTTTTTATAATTTATTTATTCCTAATCAAACGGATAAAAAATTTGGAAACATAAAAAAAAATTTGAATACAACTCTCAATGGGTCTCTCCAATTGTACAATTGAATTATGTGCACCTAAATGAAATCATATCCGATTATAAGAAATAGAAAATACTGAAAACAATCCTTTGATTTTCGTTAATATTAAAAATTGTATTAAAATTTTAAATAATTTAATATTTTGTGAGATTTAATTGACAATGGCTTCATTAGCGGGACCAATAAAAAATTTATCAAAAATTGAATATTCCTAATCTATGAAAAATTATTTGGTGCTTATGAGGCCCTACGTGTTTATATTATTCACCAATCATGATACACCATATCTTTTATATTTTTTAATCACCTAACATAAAAAAATAGTGTTAGGAATATCAAATTTTTTATCAAACAAATGACCAAATGTCTCACGAGTATAGAGTACACAATTTACAAACCCTGAGATATTTGATTATTTATCTTGTTGAAAATTTGGTGTGTATAATATTTTTCAACATAAAATTATAAATTTTTTTTAGAAATCTCAAAAATTGTATTAAAAATTTTACCAAATGTGTGAGACTCATACACACAGAAGTAAGACATTTTAAAACTTTTAATAGAATTTTTGATATATCTAACTTGATTCAAAAAAATTATAAGCTCTATTTTTCACGTGGCACGATGACCCCGTTTGGTGTAGCTGTTAAAACAGTTTATAAATTATATCTTAACAGATTATAGATTATGACTTTAATCAGAAGTTGTAAATCTGTTTGGTATAACTGTTGGATTATAGATTTAAGTTACTGAGTAGTGTTTGTTAAATAAGCTGTGAAATAGTTTTTTTAATTAATTTTTATTTTTTGTTTGCCTACATTTCTCATAAAATAATAATAATAATAATCTATAGTCCATTTGAGTTTTTTTTCTATTTTTTTTTAAAAAAAAAAAAAAAAATTAAGAGTATAACCATAAATTAATATGTCCACAGTAGAAGCTGATAATCAGAAGCAAGGGGTGAGCAGCTTCTCAGAATCAGCTTTTTTGAGTTAAAATAAACTGTTAGAATAAAAAACTGTTTGAAATAAGTTTAACCAAACAGTCCAAAATAATTTTTTCAAAACTAAAAATAATAAATTGACTCTGAAAAGCTGAAACAAACACCCCGAGACCTGACAACACCACCAAATAACTTCTCAAATTTTATTCAAATACCATGACACTGAAAAAGACCAATGTGCGTGATAGAGGACAGGTTCAATGTCTACCAAGAACTCAAAGCTCGAAGCTACACCACACCTGTTCCATGAGATTTATCCCCAAAGCCTCTTAAATATTTGAAAAATGAACCCAATTCCAAATTCGAGTAATCCATGATCTATCTACCACTTATCAGTGGCTGTGGTATGTTGCCTCTGTGTTCATGTGATTCCAAATTTCCATCATAAAATATTCTCACTCTGTTGTTGCCACTGTGTCTCTAAACCGCTGAACCTCTCTTCTGTCTCTGCCTTCCTCGCACAACTCCAAAGGTATCAACTTTTTTTACTCAGTTGAAATCCCCTTTTAATGCAACAATTAGACCCTTGATTCCTCTGATTAATTTGGTTTTTGGTTGTGAAATTAGGAGCTATGAAATGGGTATTGATTTGTTTTATCATATTTTAGTTGTGATTTTGTTGATTTGTATTAGGTTTTAAATGGGTTTTGTAGTGTGATTGTCTTCTTTCCTTTGTTTCTTAATTCTTTTTATTTTCTGTTGATTGATTCAATTTGCATTTGTATGTTAAATGGGTTTGTCTTAATTTAGTTGTTTATTTATTGCAAAAAAGAATCCCCTTTGGAAGTTTCTCACCGACTATGCGTCATGTTGTTGATGTGTAATTTGTCTCTGCTTCGTGGTCAGAGTTCGAAGTCAGACTTGGGATTGAGTGTTTGCTGTGTCACATGCATTGGTTTATAAAAATTATGGGTTATGCAATTTGAATTTGACCATCGTTTATGATAGTTGTGGCATGAATTTTGGATAAAATAAAAACCAGTGGAACTGAACTGAACCAGACGGTCTGAGACCGATAAAGTTTGGTTTTTGGTTGGCTTTTCAAAAGGTACAATTTGGGTTTTCAAAATTTTGGTTTTCAATCGATTTTTCAAGATATGTTTCTGGTTTTAAAATTTTTTTCCGCCAATAAGCATCGAAGTATTATGTTAAATATTTTTTATATTATGACGTTTTGAGCTTTATTAGAAGATAAATGATCAATCCTTTTCCTTTTTTAAATAAATCTTAGAGATGGAGCATTTATTGAGCAATCCCTCTTCATTTATTGTTGATGTGATATTTTATAGGTTTCTATAGAACTTTTAAAGCCTCCGGTAAATCTCTCTTTTACACTAAATTGAAAAGCTGACAAAACTGAAATGTAACATGCGGTCGGTATCAATTCCTCAACCACCAAAACTAAGGGTTCAATCTGCGCTAAATTTTCTTTTAATCCCAACCAAGCCGAATCATTACATCATTAATAACAGAACACGGATCAACATTCAAAACATATAATATGGATTCGGCATATCCCTGTTTCAAATCAAAATCCATTTAATTATGTAATCTTAACTATTGATGTTATCATCCTTTTTATGTGTTTCATAATTTTAACTATTATTCTATGTGATACATCATACATGTGAAAATTCTCACAGGTTATGAACTGAGTGCATCAGTTGCTGTTTTACCTCCTGCCCGTAATCTGCGAAATTTTGGTGGTTTTAATTGGACAATATCTATTCCACCATGTCGCCCAAGGCGTTGGACTATGAGTCATTGAATGAAAATGTGAAGAAGGCTCAATATGCCGTCCGAGGTGAGCTGTATCTTCGAGCTTCTGAGCTTCAGAAGGAAGGGAAGAAGGTATATATATTTGTTCTATTGGAATCTTCCTTTCTGACAACATGGTATTTTCTCACTTGTGTATGCGTATCTATGTCTCGGCACTGGAGACTTGAGCTAGACTTTTTGTTTGCTTTTGCCCCTAAAAATTGGTCTTAAATCTTGTTTAATACAATGGTTTTGGCTCCTAAATTACACTAAATAATTATGCACCTGATTTTTATTTATTCACTATTGTTACTGTTATTTTTCTTTTCGTCCTTTGTGTGTATGTTATTGTTTGTTGTTAATTATTTTATGATGGCCTTTTGGGCATATATGCAAGTAGCTGTTCTGTGTTTTGATGAAACTCTTGGTTGTGTTTTATCCTTAGTTTTTATACGATAAAGAAGTCCCTGGCTAGATTTTTGCACTAAAACTTAGGGGCACATGATTGACTTTCTGCTCTTCACAAACGTAATTGCTGGTTTTGATTTCACACATCGAACTGTACGGAAATTCTGCATCAAGTCTCATACATCGTGTCTTGTTGGACCTTTTATTAGAAGTCAATATATAAACCAACCCAAACCAAACAAAGTCTTAAATCCCATAAAATGGAGTTGGCTATTAGAAGTCAATACAGATCGTTTAAATTTTGTATCCTGTCCATAATTAGGCACTAGACAAGAGGTATCAAATATGGTTTTTTGGACCTTGTAAGACCATTAACGGAGACAGATAAATGTGTAATCCTTTTGATTATTTATTCCTTATTAACTCTCTCCATCAAATGTTCTTGCTGTCTCATCATTTCAATTATTGCAGATTATTTTCACGAATGTTGGCAACCCTCATGCCCTAGGACAGAAGCCACTAACTTTCCCTCGTCAGGTAAATCACTATCGCAATATTGCTGTTTGATCAATTCATATGTTGTAGGAATTACTGTATCTATTCCTCCAATTTTATAAACCTGAATTGTTTGGCTTTGTTGTGAGATTATAATATTTTTGGTAAAAATTCACTAAATGATTGTATTTCAGGTGGTCGCTCTATGCCAAGCTCCATTTCTGCTGGATGACCCTAATGTTGGACTCATATTCCCTGCTGATGCAATTGCAAGAGCTAAATATTATCTTTCATTGACTACGGGAGGTCTAGGTATCTTCTTCTCTATACATTGTTAAGAAAATAGGTTTGTCTCTGTGTTACTAGAAAACAGTAATATCCTAGGGATTTAAGTTTTGGAATGTATGTTTTGAAACATGGTATACTTTCTTTCCAAAACGGTGACTTTAGCAATTCAAAGTGATCCCAAAAATATTTTCCAATATAAACCTTGGAAGTTACCTTAGGAGGAAAAACAAATCAAATATAATAAAAATAAAGTCCAAGGAGAGTGGAGTGTTGGGATGACAATGTTAAAAATGGGTCATAATTCTCATAGAATTGTGTTGTAACATGACTAATTTGAAAAAGAAAAGCAATATTTTATTGGATGTGTAATTGTTAAGAGAAAATTACTTTAGAAGAATCTTAAATTGTAATAGTGTAATCTAAACAAGTCTACCCTTATCAACCACATTTTAGGGAATGCGGTAACAAAAATTTGGTTTAGGTCAAATCATCAGAGTGGATTCGATAGGGAAAACCAATTTTTACAAACAAACAAACTGATCTGGCAATGTGGTTGGTGTCCTATGCCTTGACAGATTTAAGGACTTCTTTAGAGGTTGTAATGTGAAGAAACAAAGATGAACAAACTGAAAATGTGATTAATAACACTTAAACTTGTCACTTAATTACAATAATTAAATTACAAGTTTCATAGCATTACAATCTACAGGGCCAAATTGAGTTACAAGCACTGAAATTACTGTTAATCGACTCCTAAGTTGCAAAAATACTCCTAGATAAGTTACTGCTACTCCTAGATTTCACAAGTGTTGTGAATTTGGTTGAAGGCCCTCTTCTCTTCGAATTCCCAGCTCTTATATGGCTTCACTGACCATGCCATGCTGCCATGTGTCCATTTGCTGGTGGTAACTTCCACTTGCCCATGATCTGCAACTGTTGCAACTGCCTTTAACTTTCTTTTCTCTTGGAAGTGCCATGTATCTTGTCTTTGATCCTTGCTTTCAGACCACCATCTTCATGCCCATGATTCTTGGACCCTTATTGATTACGCCCATGCTCCTGTCGACAGAGGATTTAAATTTTGGTGCCAACAGTGGTGTACCACATTTCCACTCCCATTCCATTTACTGAAACAATCCACATTCCAGCTAACATAGGTTTGACTAATTTAATAAACACTATACTAAGGCTTCTCAAGGTTATTCTCCTTCTATGGTTTTAGTCTCTCTGTCTTTCTCTACACTTCTTTTTGTTCACAATTCTGGTGCTCTTAGACTTCCCCAAGTCTGTTCATCTCCAAACGTCTTCTATATTTTCCAGTCATCCACCTCAATGTCCTGATTTCAACTTCACTTGTTTTATTAACAATTTAGTACACCATTCTTGGGTCCTTGCATTGTGTGCTTTGTAAACATAGCTAATTTCCCAGTTGTTTTTACAATTTTATTTCGTCAAATGGTTGGAAGTGAGAAGTGCAGTAAATGAGATGCTGACTGAGAACACTATCAATATGTTTGTTTAATTAGTTACCTTGACAATTAATTAGGTGCTTACAGTGACTCAAGAGGCCTTCCTGGAATAAGGAAGGAAGTGGCAGAGTTCATTGGAAGGCGTGATGGGTATCCAAGGTGATGATGCTTGATATTATGTTACACTCAAGTCTTTCTTAACAGCTGAATATTGTAAACTTTGGGTCTGGATTTAAAAATCTGAGTATTTTTGCTTCATGCGTTAATAACAGTGATCCAGAACTTATATTTCTCACCGATGGTGCCAGCAAAGGAGTAATGCAGATCTTGAACACTATTATCCGTGGTGATCGGGATGGGGTAATTAATCTTCACAGAAGGACTTTGAAAAATTCCCTTTTTTAGAAAAAAATTATAAAATATATATGTTTTTTCTCTTCATTCACCACCAAGCCCGGAGCTACATAAAACCCAAGGGCTCCCCTCCCCTCCTAAAAAAACATTAAAAAAATCCTTTTGGCTTTGGTTTCATGGATGATATATAGATTATTTTTGCTTTTTTGGAATATTGAAAAAATAAAGGTAGACATCTTATTTATTCATTTTTATGTCAATTAGTGAAAATCCTTTGAAATGGTGGTCTAATTTATTTTTATCCTAAGATCTTAGTTATATATCTCAAAGACAAAAGTGAGTAAAATAATTGAAAAACTGACTGATTGCTACAATTAACTGATTTTTGCTTAGATAAAGTAGATTTTTCATATACCTTTCTCTATGGGTAGTTGTCTTCTTATTGTTTTTTCCTTCCTAATTGTGAATAAATTATGTTCTGTTGCCAGATATTGGTTCCAGTTCCACAATATCCACTTTACTCGGCTACAATATCTTTATTTGGCGGTTCTCTCGTTCCATATTACCTGGAAGAGACAGCAAACTGGGGTCTTGATATTAATAACCTTCGAGAGTCAGTTGCTAATGCCCGCTTTAAAGGAATAACTGTAAGTATGCCCTTGCTTTTTGTTTGACTGACAAGCAACATATTATAACTATTTGAAAACTCAGAAACTTGGGGGCTCTGTTTAGTTTCAGTACTTGGCTTTTTTTTTTTTTTTTTTCGAAAATAGAAATTTTTTTTTTTTCTTTCGAAAATAGAAACAAATTTTACAAAAATAAACATCAAAAAAGATATTTTTGAATTTTCAAAAATTATTTCCTTCCTAAAAAAGAGAGAGCCATATGAAAATAATGAGTGCTTTTTAATTTTGTAATTTTTCACTAACGTAGTTTTTAAATTTTTTTTAAGAAAACGGATTCTAAAAATTCAACCAAACAGAGCATTGATGTCTGGAGGACTAGAAGATGAGGGGCCTTAGTTTTTTCTTTTGTTTTTTGGATAACTGGGAACCCCCTTGACCCCACATTGAATTCATTGGTCCTATCTTGGCATGGGAAACTAGAAAAGCTATTTTATATTGGCTTGTTCCATGGCATACGTACCCTTCAATGTTCATACATATACATCTTCTTAGCTTTTATATTCTTGTGTATGATCAGGTACGAGCAATGGTGATTATAAACCCTGGAAATCCTACTGGCCAGTGTCTCAGTGAAGCTAATCTGAAAGAAATTTTACGGTTCTGTTACAAAGAAAATTTAGTCTTGCTTGGGGATGAAGTTTATCAACAGAACATTTACCAAGATGAGCGCCCCTTTATGAGTGCCAGAAAGGTAATAGATCTTCATACCATTTGATAATATTGTCCCTGAATTTAGGGAGCTTCTATTTGCACACCACATTTTGTCTCAGTTCACACCATTTGTGCTACTATGATTTCAACTTCCAAACAAAAATTAGTTGTTCAGATATCACCTACCAAAAAGGTTTATATCTGAACAATTCAATTTTGTTTAAAAGTTGATATCCAAACAGTAAAATGGTGTTAACTGAGAATTTTTGTGGTGTGTGAATATAACCTCCCCTGAATTTTATTTGGGAGCTCAAAATCAAGTGACACCGTATTGTTGTTCTACTCTGAAAGGTTATGTTGGACATGGGACCACCCATAAGCAAGGAGCTTCAACTTGTTTCTTTTCACACCGTGTCAAAAGGATATTGGGGTGAATGTGGACAGCGGGGTGGATACTTCGAGATGACTAACATACCTCTACAGGTTTGCCTTGCTGTTATTTTTCTAATGCTCTTCAACATGATTCTTGAATTGTGAACCAGGCCTTTTTTTCTTTCCGAAAGGCTTTTTTGGAAAGTATTATCAAGGTTTCGAGATTTATCCAAAAAAATAAAAAATTATCAAGATTTCGGGCATCAAAACTGAATCCAAGGTTTCAAGGAAATATGAAATTCGCTTTGTAGTTCACAAAGAAGATGTGATCAACTAGATTTCTCCCACTGTTTTTTCTTCTCATTTTCTCTTTCTTTTTCCATTTATTTCCTTAAACCTGTGTTTGGATCAAGGATTTGAGTTGGGATTTGTGGAGGAAAAGGAAAAAGGAAGAGAAAAGTTAATGAAACATAAGTTAATTTTTTTTTCTTTCACTTTTCCATCTCCTTTTGCTTCCCCCCTACAAATTCCCTCTCAAATACTTGATTCAACACAGCCTAAGGGATACTGTTCATGCCGCTAACAAATGAATTACGTCATGTCTTTTCATTTACTCAAGCTAAATAGATCTTCATTTGAAAAAGTGTAAAACATGTTTGTAAAGGCACTTTATCTTTATCACTTGATTTTTGCAGACTGTTGAAGAAATCTATAAGGTGGAATCAATATCACTCAGTCCAAATGTTCCTGGGCAGATATTTGTAAGTTGGAATCCAATTAATCATTTGGTTGTGTTGTGTGTCATTCATGAAGTAAATTAACTTACTTAAATACAATATTAATTTTTCGTTCTTCATATTTTACATGTAACTGTCTCTAGGAGAGAAGAATACTGACTCTTTTACTTTTGCAGTTAGGACTAATGGTTAACCCGCCGAAACCAGGAGATATCTCATATGACCAGTTTGTTAGAGAGAGGTATATTGCTGATTTTCAACCTTATATAAGTTGGTCATTGACGGCTCTATTATTGATAAAATGATCACATGAAGCCCCCATGTTTTTCAATCATTTTGATCTTAACTAGTATTGATTAGGATTAAAGCAAGTGTCAATACTTTCCATTGTCACCAATTTAAAGAGTTCTTGTAGACTAATAAGATTTTTCAAAAGATAACTATATTTGTTTCTTCTAGCTTTTTATTTCTCGTTTGAGGAACTGGTGAATCAAACAACTGCAATGGAGAAACAAAATGATTAGACAAAAAGGGAATGGAAGTTTTTTAAAGCAACGACACAATAAATTTTGTAAAGCATGGTCATTTGAGGAAAGAGTTGGTTCTACACCTCTCGATGTAGAAGCTATAGGATTTCATAAGAGAAGAGAAAGAGAGGGACACAACCCTAACACAATACGGCCACAACCTAATGCTCAATTTCAATAATCCAAATCAAAATAATACATATGGCATCCAGAAACGTTTCTCCTTTTTTCTTTTTTTTTTTCTTTTTTTGTGGAAGTGAACAATTGTGTTTCTCTTAATAATGAATGCAGCAAAGGTATCCTTGAGTCACTAAGGAGGAGAGCGCAAATTATGACCGATGGGTTCAACAGCTGCAGAAATGTTGTTTGTAATTTTACAGAAGGTAAAACCATTTCTCATTCCATTTTCAGTTTCTTGCACTTAATGAAATTTGTTCACGTGTATGGGTGAATGTTCAGGCGCCATGTATTCCTTCCCACAAATACGCTTGCCTCCAAAAGCAATAGAGGCTGCGAAAAGGGCTGGAAAGGTTCCTGACGTGCTCTACTGTCTCAAGCTCTTGGAAGCCACAGGCATCTCCACTGTCCCAGGTTCTGGATTTGGACAAAAAGAAGGGTAACTACTTAATCTTTTTCTGTTCATCATCTTGGAAGCCAATTGCCCAGCCCAGCCCAAATTATAATCCGTCAAAAAAAATTTGCCCAACCCAGCACTATGATGGGCCTAAACTATAATCCCAATCCCTATAAATCATGGCCTTAGCAGGATTCAATCTCAAGTTTTTGGCCCAACTAGACTTTACTAGCTAAGCTAGAGATGGCACGTTCTTTATATGCTTGCGTTTGTTGCAACTTGAAAACTATTATTTTGTCTGATGGCTTACCTTTGTGTAGGGTATTCCATCTGAGGACAACCATCTTACCAGCTGAGGAAGAAATGCCTGCAATTATGGCCAGTTTCAAGAAGTTCAATGACGAGTTCATGGAGCAATATGAAGACCACAGAGGTTATTCGAGGATGTGATGAAGGTGCATAATTTCCTAATTTGTATAATTCTCTTCAGCTCCTGCAAGGTATTTACTAGTGTACACTCCTGAAACATTGTCCTTTTGTCTCTCCATACAATTGGGATACCAATTTATTTCTGTTAAAAATTTAGCTATGGCTTCACATGTATCTTCATATCCTCTGATTGGTTCTACTATAAAAAAAAAATCACTTTAATATTTTACCTAGATGACTCCACTCCTAAAATCGACAGAATGCTAGATTAGAAATTAGATATGCATAATAGGTGGAATTTTTTTAGGATCTCTTTGTCCTATGTTTGGATGGTGGAATTTTTGATGGAAACGAAAAAGATTTATTTCTTTTACTTAGGAAAATGAGAACATGATATGCTTTATTCAGAGATGGTAGGATCCATTTGATTGTCACACACATGTTATGGAAGAAAGTGATTTTTGAAAAGGAGAGTTGCCTTTCTATATCCATTTTGGTGATTGACTTGCAAATGTAGACATGAAATTAAAGAATAAAATTGCAACTGTAGGGTTAATTAGAAAATTTAATGACAAATGGAGGAAAACTAATCTATGTATCTATCTAATACTATTATAAAGTGAACACCGCTGATAGTATTCTGAAGCTTCTCTCTCCTTAAGCCAAGTGTCTATTTCTCCATCCAAAAAAAAGAAAAAAAAAGATAAAGGAGGGGCGTGTGACTCAAACATCAAACATTTTGTTTGCTAAAGAAGACACTTACCACTTGAGTGGCATACAATATATAATAAATATTTTGTTTTATTTTATTTATTTGGATTGTATATGCATCTCGTGTGGCAACTGCTGGTATACTTAATAAGTAGAATTTTTTTAGGATGACTATGCTACATTTTGATCATGGAAAAGTGGAGGGAAAGGAAAGGAAAGGAAAGGAAAAAGAGAGGAAAAATATATATATATATATATATATATTTTAAAAGGAAAATGAGAACATTATTTGCTTTATTCAGACAGAGATGGTAGGATCCATTTGATTATCGCGAATGTTATGGAAGAAAGTGATTTTTGAAAAGGAGCTTTTGGAAAAGGAAATCATAAGTTGCCTTTGTATATACATTTTGGAGATTTTATTTATTTATTTATTTTGAACAATATACAATTTGGAGATTGACTCGCAAATGTAGTTATGAAACTAAAGAACAAAACTCCAAAACCATTGGGTTTATTGGGAAATTTGATGACAAATGGGGCCTCAACTTTGGTACTATGTATATATGGATTTATTTATTTGGCATACCATAGGAAGCTATGAGCTTAGTAAATTTATTTATTTATTTACAGTCGTTCTATCAATTCGAACTTGAAGCTCTGACTTTTTAATTGTTCCAAAGACAACTACCCTGTTCTAATACGGCTTTATTGAACCAAAAATGTGAAAATAGATTTACTGATTTTGAGATAAACCCACCAGAAATTATTGCAGAACTATAGACAGCTGACTTTGAATTGACAAGAAGTTTTATTTTAGCTCAGACAAGGAGATTTCTGTATATTCTTTATGTTGACTGACTTACTTAAAAGTATATATCACTCTGTACATTACTCAGAATATGTGTGTAGCAAGTTATTCGGTGCTGGCGGAGTAATGCCTCAACAAAAATCATAGCAAGCCTTAATTGATAATAATTTTTGGGTTTTCACATTTTTCCTGGAATATATAACAATGCTTGCATCAGCCAAGTTTACAATAAATAAGAAAAATATATCTTTTATTTGTTCGTGTTACCTTTTTATTTTAATATTTTTTTGTTTTTTGTTTTTTGTTTTTTGTTTTTTATACATGGCGAATATTATATAAGTAGGCTTAAAGGAAAAGAAGAGGGGTGGCAAGAAATGAAACCGTCTTGCTGGTTTTATCCCGAGAAATGTTAGAGATGTTTTAAAGGGATTCTTAAAATATGATCTTCAAACTCACTCCTAATGATGTGTGGCTAATTACATATATTATCAAATTTAATTTTTAGATAATCTTTAAAATACTAAGAAAAACTTGCCATTACACATTTTAATTTTTAATTTTTAGATAATCTTTAATTTTTAGACAGAAAAATACTAAGAAAAACGATATCTAGTTTTAATTTATTCATTCTAAGTGTGTATTCCAATATGCAAGTATTGAATTTGGACTACACATTTTTTTTTCTTTATATATATATATATATATTTATGTTTGAATTCTTAATTCCTAACATTACTATTAAAACTCACCATATTGGAACTAACTTCAAAAAAAATATAATCCTCAATTCTCATTTTCATATCATCCTAATCACTTTGACTAATTCTTCCTAAAATAATTGCATTCTTTACAATTAACCTATCCTCTTTTTATTTATTTATTTTTTTAAATGATTAATGAGTTTCGAATCTTAATATCAACCTCACAATATATGTCACAAATTAGCACCTAGCTCAAAAGACAATTAGCTAATAAAACAACCTATTTTTTCCTAATTGAAAGTTCTTGGACAAACAGACAAAGAAATAAAATAAATAAATAAAGAGACACACAACAAAATAAATAAAAATTGAGTGGACATAGGGGACAGTAATAATGGTATAATGTACACTAGTCTTTAGACTTTTGAATCAAGTGGATAAAGTCAGTGGCTTTATTTACTTCATTGGTCTAATCTATAGTATTTATAGCCAAGCCGTAATTCATATTTAGTTCAATAATCCTACAATTATTAAATTTAGGTCGTAATACGTTACCTAACATTTCTCCATTCAAAATCTTTTGTCCCAAAAACCAAATGGTAAAATATCCACCATTTAGAATTTACAATTGGTTCTTATATGGTCAAATTTGTAACAAATTAAAAGTTGACATGTAACATGTCATGTGAGTAAAATTAGTGAAAGATTTGTAAGTTCTTTTTTTTTTTTTCTTGTCATAATAATTTTTTTTTTTTTTTTTTTTTTTAATCAGTAACAAACAAAGATATATTAAAACTTAAGGCCAAGAAAAATTACGATAAGGCATCCTCTACAAAAAAGATGAAAAAAAACAAAAAGAGAAAAAAAAATATAAAAAGACAAACATTTACTACTACACAGTATAAACTGACACCTAATCGATAACAAGCAAAAAAAGCGGAATCCCTCAGAATACTGAGCTCGCCGAGGCCCAAAAAGACGCCAAGTATCTCACCATATCCCATAAATAGTCTATATCCCGAGCAACTTCAAAAACAAGCACATTTCTTTCCAACGAAATGACCTAAAAAATTGCAAAGACGGCACCACTCCAAAGCACTTTAGCCCTCTTCGACTTTCCAAAAACTTGAAAATCAAATAATAGCATTTGAGCACATCCTTTTGGGGCCACCCACATCACACTACCCAATCCAAACACCCTATGCCACAACCGCCCAACCACCGAGCAATGCAAAAAGAGATGATCCAAAGATTCTCTACTTTTACAACACATAATGCACCATTGAGGATTAAGATACCGCAAAGGTCTCTTCTTTTCCAATGAATCATTTGTCAAAGTGCCCCCATGAACCAAGATTCACATAAACACTTTCGCCTTAGTAGGATCACATGCCTTCCAAATCTTTTTATGAAACAGAAACTGAGGTACATGAGAAGTATTAATGATTTTATCAAGAAAGGATTTACAATTAAAAGAACCCGACGAATGAATATTCCAAACCAATCTATCCTCCAAAATTGGAGATAAAGAAACATTTTTTAGCCTTGACAAAAGAGATACTAATTCCGGAACTCTCTCATGAAGATATTCCTGTTGAAGTTAAAATTCCAAAAAAAAGAATCCGCCACAAACGCAACAGAACAATTATAAGACTGAGAAACGCTATACAAAAGTGGATAGGACGTAGCCAAGGACGAAGAGCCCACCAAAACATCCTCTCAAAATTTGACCTTTCCCTATTACCCATCCTCACAGAAATAAATCAGGACCAAACTGGATAAATTTGAAAAATAGACTTCCAAGAAGCACGCCCGTTACCCCTCGTGACCACCTAAGAATCCCTACCATTAACGTGAGTTCCATATTTACTTTTAATAACACTAATATTAAATTATTCATTGAGAATTTTCATACATTGGGATTCTTATATAATGTAACGGTTGTAACTAAATTAAGGTAGAGTGGACAAATCATTTTGGAAAATACTATGGACCTCAAATAATTTACCTAATTTTCTACCAAATATCTCACATGGTTGTGGGACTCACACAAGCCTACATGTGTGTAGGTCCTACACTCATGTGAGAAGTTTAATATAAAAGGGCAAATTACATATATCCCCCTTGAGATTTAGCAAAATTACAGATACCCCCTGAGATTTGAGAAATTACAGATACCCCTTAAAGGTACTATTTGCATAACAAATTAGGGGGTAAATTGTTATGAAAATATAAAGCTCAAGGGGTAATTTGTTATGAAAATATAAACTTCAGGGGAGTATCTGTAATTTCCGAAACCTCAGGGAGTATCTGTAATTTAACTAAATCTCGAGAGAGGTATATGTAATTTGTCCTTAATATAAAAAAATTTAATAAACTATTTAGAATTCATAGCATAACTCAATGGTTTTTGAAATAAAAGGTCCTCATGTTCAAAAAGAATAAAAGCTCATCCGCCACATTTCACAAATGTATTCAGTGTGTTTGGTTTGAGTTTTCTGAATTAAGTTTTTTAAAAAATTGACTTTTTTGGTTTTCGTATTTTTTTGTTTTTAATGAATATTTTTTAAATTTTAAACATTTTTTTTACTTTTTTAGATACACCTTACTTAGATGTATCTAAAAAGTAAAAAATTTGTGAAAAAAATATTTTTAAAAATTAATAAATACATAAAACTACAAAAAATATACTGAATTATTGTATTTTTTTTTGTATTTTTGGTATTTAGTGAATTTTTTTTAAAAAAATTTATATTTTTTTTTACTTTTTAGGTGTATTTATGTTTGGTGTGTCTAAAAAGTAAAAAAAAAATACTTAAAATATTAAAAAAATTCAATAAAAACAAAAAAAATGAAAAATAAGAAAGTAGAATTTTCTAAAAAGTGTTTTTTGAAAAGTGAAAACAAGCAAGGTGATTAGTTTTATAAATTTCACATTTGTAGCAAATCATACAATATCCATATTTTTTTTGGATAAACTATTCATATTTTTTTTTTATTTAAATCTAAC